TTAACCTCCACCAAGAAAAGTTCCACATCTATGGGTAAAACATGATGGTCACAGCCAACTTTTGTCTTTTTATGGACTCATTCTATGGAGAAAACATCAATACAGAGCCTGGTCAGAACAGGCTCTAATTTTTTCAGTCTGCTATTTTTCATATGCACTCAAAAACTATGAGGGGCCGGTGAGATAGCTCAGTGGTCTAAAGTGCCTGCTTAGGCAAACTTAGACAACCGCAGGGACCGCGTTTCAATCCCTGGCACCACATGCCGTGCCAGCCCCACCCCCAGGGCAGGCTGAGCTGGCAAAAAGAGGAAAAAAAGCACAATATGCCAGGTATGGGCAATACACAGTACATATGGCATTCAATCCATGCTCCAGGTATTAGCAAGTGCTCTCCATTTTAGCAAATGAAAAAAATCTGCAATTTAATGTAGGGGAAATATACTTTATGAATCTGGAATAAGAAAATTTATAGGCATCAGTATAAAACTTGCCCCTTGTGGTAACAATATGATAAATTTAGACAAATCTATGACTTTACATTCATATACACTGTCTAATCTAGATAAAGAAGGGATAATTACTACTTCTGTTATGTAATGGATCAGCCCAACTGACACATTTTTAAATGCAAGCAATTTACTAGTGAAGAGACATCTGAACATCAAATATCAGCATAAACTAGAAGTTAGTAGTGGAACTGGATGCTGCTGGTAATACAAGTTAGACCAGGAAGCCAGTTAATTACAGAATCAGTATAGCTAGAAATAATTGTAACATGGGTTAACATGGATCTGCATTTTTGGTTCTTTGTATTTATTTTTTCCTTCTATAAAAAGAAAATGCTGTTTTGACCATAGAACCAATCAATGAGCCAGATACCAGTGAGGTCTATTCTGAGTACCAAGAGACAGTGGATGAAGAAAGGTGCTAAGCCAGTGACCACTTCAGTAAACCAGGTACTGGGATTAGGACAAATGTGGGAGGTCAGGATGGCTGGACTTTATGATCCTCAGGGCTGAGGGTACAAATCATGTCTGACCTGGAAAACTAAAGAGATGAAGCAGTACAGACGTATGATTGAAGTTTCAAAGTGATAAAGTGTGCGTATGAGCAATAATGAACAGGCTCTTGTGATTTTTTGGTCCAGTCTTCTGCTTCTACACTGTAGCTACACAGCTACTCCAGGGTCCATCTCCAAGAATCTTGGCTCCCACCTGTTAATTTGGCAGATAGGACTGCAGAAACTGCTTAGGTAAGAGCATGACTGTGCAAAAATGCTATAATTTACTTTAAAAAAAGATTATGGGGAAAAGCCAAGATAGGTTTTTGAGTACAGAAGCCCTACTGTGTCTCATCGTGTTCCACATTTATTATGTTCTAATGAAGTCTGTATACTTTGCTACAGTAAAATCTGATTCAGATAACAGTCTTTACATAGGGATTACAAAGCCTAGCTAATCCAACTCCTTCCTCCTCTCCAGGAATCACTATTCTTCAGTCCTACATTTTTACTATATATTCTCTTAATCACTCTGATTATTTTTTGTTGTTGTTGTTGGGGGAGGGGGCTACTGGGGATTGAACTCAGGACCTTGCACTTGACAGGCAGGTACTTATGCCACTGAGCTACATCACCAGTCCTATTTTCTTAATCACAAACAACATAAAATATGACTTTTATTTTAAAAATATGCTCCAATTATCATATTGATAGTCCTTAAACATCAAGATAGATTATGTAGAGGATTCTAATCCATAATTTCTGAAAGACTACAGATACTATCCCCTGGATAGGCTCTTTCACTGTTAAAGTTTGCATAAAGTAAAGCAAGAAAAAGTAAAGCCATATTAATATTCTGAGATGTAAAAGGCTCAAGTCTGACACTGCCAGTCCTACAGATAACACACTACTATTATGGACTACTGGACTATACTGGAATATTTTGCTGAATTCATGCACCTACAATATTTAAATGACAATGGAATACTCATCTCTGACAAAACTAAACAATAAAAGGGGATAAAAATGAAGGACCATTTTGTATCTGTATATTCAAAATAGGATACACAGCTACTTTCTCTTAATTCAATGAGAAGAAAGATTTGTACTAATAGTGTTTAGACAGGATATCATGTCTGCATTTTGTACTATGAATAATCACTAAGAAGACAACAATATGCAGTATATTAATTATTGTAACTGTCCTACTAATTGGTTTTGAAACTGTCTCATTGCTATTTGTTTCTAAAGGTATTAATTTAAAAAAAGTAAAACAAGAAAAACAGTTGCAATCTTACTCCGCTCAGGTAATTCCCTGAGTCACAAGTCATCTCACATCTCACTGCCCTAAGACTTGTTAATGACATGTACACTCAGTGCACAGCATTTTAATTCCTTGGAACAGAGCATTTTTATGTCACTTTCATTAACAGCAAGACTGAGAAAGCTACTTGCAGCACAGCTGAACGCCAGAGGAACTCAAGCCCATCTGATCTGAAAACCATGGCACCATGGTCATAAAACAATTAAGAGTACCCCTCAGGGAAAGACAAGTCCAACAATTAACCTTCAATGCCAATTAGTGCTACCACTTTCTTAGTGGCACAAGAAGTATCTATAATAGTATGACAAAACTGTAGTTCCTAACCCTAGGCATTCAACTGAATATGTTTATTCTTTATATGGACTTTCCATTTAGGCAAAAGTCTAAAATAAAAGAACTTCATAAAATTATTGCATGGAAGATCTACTATTTTACCTAGCAAGCTTTAATCCATAAGACAATTAGACACATAAGCAATTTCTTCAAACTAAATAAGCTAGAAGCCCCCTTTTTTAAATGGGGGTAAAAAAAATAATCCCCTAACTGCTTACTAAGTTCCAACAGTACCCATATTAAACATTACACACTCTCCAAAGAACCAGGGCTCTTTGGAGCTCCGGTTGATTCCAGGATGAGCATGGAAAGTACAAGATGAGCCTGGAATATAATGTACCAGAAAGTAAGCAAGAGCTCACCAAAAGAAGATGAGCCTACGGGGCACAGTTTGAAGAACTGCAAGTGGGCAAATTGGGGACAATTTGAACATCAGTATAAATAATGGTAAAACATATCAGAGCCTACTATATAAGATAGCAAGCTCTGTGACTGTAGATGATTTAGATAAATAAATGAATAAATAAGTGGTGAGAGGGTTAGGGAGATAGCTCAGCAAGCTAAGCACCTGCCGAACAAGCACAAGGTCCCGAGTTCGATCTCTGATACTGCATGCCATGTCCACCCCAGAACCCAAGGTGTGCCATGCCAGCCCCAAGACTGGGGATGGTGGCGAACACCTGTAACCCCAGAGCTGGGGATGGCTCAGTGGAATAGCGCTTCCCTGGCAAGCGCAAGAGCCTGAGTTCAATCCCCGGTTCCGCCAAAAAAAAGAAAGAAAGAAAAAGAAAGAAACAGGAGAATCACTACAAAATCTGAACTGCGTAGCAAGACCCTGTATCCAATTAAAAAAAAAAAAAAAGTAGTAAGAAGAGACAGTTTCTGTTATAGTAAAAATGCCAACTGATAAATGTAGAAAAAATAATAAAACAACCTTTTGGCAATCATCAAAATAAAAATTCAGAGGAAAAACCACATGAATTCTAATTTTTACTCAATGAGTAAAAAAGTGTGATAAAGGGCATTTATGGTCTAGAAGTGCATTCCCAGTATGTTGATTAAGAACAAAAGGGGCAAAGAGTAACTTCACAGTGACAAAGCTGGTCCAGTGCCTCAACGAAGAAAAACACAATATTGTTCCTCCAATGTTCACCTAATATATATCTATATATTTTCAGGAGGATCATGATTAAACTCTTAGATACAAACATCTCTGTAGACAAGAATTCTACCATGTATCTGGCCTGCACTTTCAAAACTGCCTAAGTCACAAAGTCCAAGAAAGGCCAAGAAACTGTTCCAAGCCAAAAGAAGCTGGAGAGATGTTTCACCCAGATTTAATACACAGTGCTAACTGGTACTGTCCACTGCTGAGAAAAATGACAACATGTGAGCAGTACCAGGCTCAGAGGTGGTAGGAATACACTAGCCTGAATTTCCTAATTTGGGCATTATATTGTGGCTTCATTGGAGAACATGACTTGTTAAAGAAAATGTATGGTGACATATTTAGGGTTGATGGACACCACTATAGTGAGGCTCTTCAGTGGCCCCCGAAATCGCACGTGGTGAAGGCTGGGTCCCAGGGTAGCATGGAAGGGAGATGGCAGAACTCTTTAAGAGGTGAGGCCTGGTAGCTGCTCAGGTAACAGAGTGTGCCCGTGGACAGGACAGCAGAATCTCAGCCCCTTTCCTTTTTCTCTTTAACTTCCTGTCACAAGGGAATTCACTCTGACTGGCTGTCACTAAGGTGTGCTGCTTCTCCTCAGGCCCTATGTATTCAATGGATCATGGATGGGACCCTCCAGAACTGTGAGCCAAAGTACAGCTTTTCTTTTTCCAAGTCGAGTACCTTCCACAATTGTTACAGTGGTGAAAACTAACAAAAACATTTACAACCCAATGTTTCTGCAATTAAAAAATTTTTCCATCATCACAGCTTTTCTCTAATATTATTTCTAAAGACACAATACCAAATCTTCTATGTATAACTGTCATAAAACATATAAATAATGTAAATAAATTTTTAAAAGAAATCCTTGTGCTGAAGTATTGCATTTTAGACATACTTTTTAACTGTAAATATCCCTTAATGTTATTTTCCACAATAGTAATAACTTTTAAGATGACTACATATATGTTCATGTTTAGTTCAACAAGAAAATGTAGGGTTTTAAAGAAACCCTACAGCAAAAGAGAAAAGAAAATAGCCTAATAAAGCAGTCTTCACCCTTTATGCCCACTCAGTAGTTAATTCTTAGATGTGTGTGCCCTCACACTGCCTTGTCACCAATTTTCTTGAACAACATATACAAAGCACTCTGAGAACCAAGTGCCCAATACCTTGATTTAGCTGTGTGGCCTCCATGATCTGGACACCATTCACGGAGCACTGAGACCCACTCAGGGGTATCAGCGTCACTGTCCCCCCAACATTTTCGAAGACACAGTGCTCACTCTCCAAGTCAAGACCATGAAGAACTAAGGTGGAAAAACAAAGAAGAAAGCTTTTATTTTCCCCCTTTGGCATTTACCCCAATAGAGCCCAACCACTTGGCTAATGATTTTGTATTTGGGATACTCTCATTCCTACAAAAGGATTGTACTGTGAACATTTATGCTCAGTAACAGAACTAAAATGGAGGACACTCTGAGAAAATGTAGGTATTGTTTGACCACTGGCTCCATGTCCAGATTGCAACTGCACAAGAAAACAAGCTCTCAGGCATCTAGTTAGTCCTTCCTCAGGGAGAGAGGAGTTGATTAACTTTTTACAACTGAGTATCATTGAGCTACTCTGTCTGATTCTGAATAATTTTCTTCTAGAAGCTAACAAAAGCCCAGAGAAAAATGCAAGCGTGGAAGTCTCTGTGGGTCTAGAACTTGGGATGATCCTTACCCAGGAACTGAAAGCAGAGGCAAATATGGCCTAGCAAGGATCTTAGAAGGCCCACAAAGTCTCAGAAGCTGTGCTAGAAGCCCCAGGCCATAACCTGTGCCAATTCTGAGGCCCCCTGGAGGACCTGGTTGCTAAGGTTGCCCTCATCATGTCTGTCTTAGATACTTTTGCCTGAGGAATGGCCTGGCACAGGAGAAGTGTCTGGCTAGAGGCAAAGTTCTTGGCCAGCAACTCAGAATAAAGACCAAGCAGCTCCGCTCCCTCCACACAATGCACTACTGAACTTCTCCGGGCACAGAAAGCATGTGTTCTTACCAGTCATCACCATTTAGAGTTACCCTGAAGGTCAGATGCATAATTCAAGCAAAGGCCTGCTGCCAAGGCCTACTCAATAATGCTTGAATCTGTGGGCTTCTGGGATTGATTTTCAGCTCTCCCAGGCTATCCACAGTAAATAGGAATACACACAGGAGTGTGCTGGGATTGGCTTGATTAATAGCTTACACTGGGCCAGCAAAACAGGTTCACAGCTAGCAATTCTCAAAACATCTGAAAGAGTATAATTTTTCCCCTGCCAATTCCCACCTTGCCCCATACACTTATGCATCCACCACACTAAGTTATCGTCTACACACTGCCTACATGATGCTCTAGAAGCCTGGCGAGCACTTGTCTGCTCAGCTCTAACCTCTGTGGGCCTCATGAAGACCACTGGGAAGGGCACAAGCCAGGCCATCTCGCATGTGAGTGCTAGGGTGCCTTCTCCTGTGCCACCATCTATGTACAGAGAAGTGTCTCTATGCTTCCTGGAAGAGGCTATAGATTCTCTGTAACCTTTGGCACATCTTCAGTTGCTATATCCCTGTGACAACTGAGGAAACTGACAGGAAAAATGTACACAGGGTGGCAGAATGCATTCATAGTTCCAGTTTGTTCACTAGATGAACTGCTCTGTTGAGTACTGTTCAAACTTACAGAGATACACATAACGTAATGGTCAATACTATCCTTGAAAATATTTCTTTTTTACAGTTATTCCAGTGTCATTCAAAAGAAAGTTCACTAAATATGCTTTTAAAAATTCAGTAGGAATAGAAAATTAATGAGTCTCACCAATATCTTGTTCCGTTGAAGCATCTTCTCTACCAACATAGGTCTGACCTTCCTGGGAAGAAAAGTCGAATAACACTTTTTAGTGAGATCAGGGTGCCTGCTTCCCCTGTCCTCACTCAACACAGGCCTGACAGCCAATGCAATGGGCAAGCTCAATGGGGCCCTGTCCTACATCCCTGAGTGCTGCTACTGAGGCTGCTGCTCAGCAATGGCAAGGCTTCTGCCTGGCACATGTCACCAACTCACTCATGCCAGGAGTGCCACCAACATCCCTGCTCCTCGCCTGGGGAGGCACTCTGTCCACAGTCTGGGCTGTCTCTGTGTGCTGTGTGTGTCTGAAGGTATAATACATGGGAGGCCAGTGTAGCATCTTTCCCAGTTTAGGCATGGGTAAGAGAGGACATTAAAATCAATGTCACAAGCACAACCATTAAAATGGAACTTCTGGGGGCTGGGGAGATGGCTCAGTAGAATAAGTGCTTCCCTGGCAAGCACAAGGACCTGAGGTTAATCCCCTGTTCTACCAAAAAAATAAAATAAAATAAAATGGAACTTTGCTTGCCAAACATGAGAAATCTACTCAGAACCAAAGCCAGCAATAAAGGAAAGAGGCACAAACTTGTAATGACCACAAGGACCTAGGGCACTGCGCACACAACAAATCCCAGCCTTGCGCATTTCAACTGTTACTTCCTCTGTCTTTCTGCCCTTTTATTCCTGGCCCCCATTTTCCTGTTTCTGCAGATTAGAAGCCAAAAGGACTGACTCATCATTTAGCTTGCCAACCACTGCACATGAATATGGAAACATCAATTCCAAGGCTGTGCAGAATCTCCAAAGGGTGCAAAGACTCGTTATATACTAATACTTGTATTCGTGGCCATAAAGTATTGCAATAAAGCTTGTTAATAATGTCTCAGAAAAAAACTGCAAACAAAATTAAAATGTTCCACTTAAGCAAGTTACACCTTCAAGTGATACAAGATGATCCCAGTGCTCAGGAGGTCATCATCAATGCCGATTAGGTGAGGCAGCTCAGAATCCAAGACGACCCCAATCCCTTCCTTCCTAAGGGCGAGTGTCTGTTCCTGAAATGAGACAAAGGAGAAAAGGCAAAGGTTACCGTGGGGTAAGAGGACCTCACATTAAAAAAGTACCTCATTTCTTATATTTTTATTTTTAAAGAATATAAAATGGTGTTAGAAAAAAAAATTACAAATGATGTAAGATTTCACTGAACCAAGTAATAGGAATTCAACAATTCCTATTGCTGTATTACATGACACTATCTTTAAATTAGTTGTTCAGATTACCAGATACAAGCATGTAAGATCCATCTAGAGAAAAAAAAAAAAAAATGAAGTTATAAAAAATTCAAAAGAAGAAAAAAATCAAAGTAAAAAAAACTAAGCATTAACTTCTCCTTTCAAAAGACCAGCAGAAATCAACAATACAATTATCCAAATTATTCTGAATACATACATACCTAAATGTCTTCCCCCTTCTTTCATTTATCCTTTTCCTCATCCCAACTTTTCCTTCCTATTGAAAAAAATTTCTTTCCCTTTCACAGTATAGGTTGCATTTCTTATTTTAAAACACAAAAAAAAAAAAAAAATGGACTTTAAGCTTCATATTGAAATTCTGGCAGGTGACACACAAAGTGAAATTAGGACATATAAAAAGTTCAATCAAAATGAAATACGTAGCTTGATATGTAATCTTCTCAAAGCCAATCTCAAAGGCTGTTTTCCTCAGCAAACATGTTAGAACCACTCACTGCAAAGTAATCTTTCTCCCTTCTTCAGAACCTTCTACTTCCCTTCAAACTGAGAATCTCTTTGATTAGTGGCTCTTCTCTCCAGTCACCATGACGGGTCAACAGCCTGTGCATGCCTCTTGAAAGCAACTCTGCTGTACATTAGCTATCCCTGGCACAAGAGCTACCTGTATCTCCTGCATCCCTGGCTTCTCCTGTCTTCTGGATCATCCCCTCTATCTACAAGTGTGTTAGAGATCACCTACAACAACCACTTTCCCACTGTTCTGTGAGCCGCATTTCTCTCAGTTACCACCAATTTCTCTGTGCCCTGAGAGAAAATCACCTCAAGAAGCAGCTCCCCAGTTCCTACCTTTTCCTTAAACCTTCCATGGACACTGCCATTCCTAGGTCTCTGCCTACATTCACTCTTTCAGATCTACATTCCTCTTGATTTCTGACTTCACCTGCTATCCATATGCTAAGGCCTCTCAAAATCAGCAGAGCAGCCCTCCCTCTGAAGCTCTATCTATCTATCGATTCATCCATCCATCCATCTATCCATCTAATTTCCTGTGGTGACCATCATCCCACCCCTGGGACCCAACACTAAAACTTAAAGGAGAACAGATCTATTTAGCTGGCTGGCTCCAAGAAACTGCATGATGAAAGGTCATGCCAGGAAAGCTGCACAAACCATAGAGGAGGGAGGAGCCAGCCAGACGAAAGAAAAATCCATCCTTTCCAGGTCACAGTGCCATCTGACCAGGGTCAGCCTCCTATCAGCACATTCAGCCATGATCATAGATGGATCATCTATTGATAATTACAGCAGCCCCATGATCCAACCTCCTCCCACTTCTGAATAATATGTTAGACCTAAATCATAACAATACCCATGTAACTCCATATACCTAAAGATCAAACATGGTTTTGCCCTATAAAAATAACTTGAAAGAGACAGTTTCCTGGACAACCAGCTCAGGCCCCCCTTCAGTCCCTCTCTGACAGAAGCTTTCCTTTCCAATAAAGTTTTATCCTCAACCTCCATTTGTTCCTAAAATTCATTCTTCAGTTTTAGAGAACACGAACTCATTCAGGTCAGGTTGGGAGTTTCATTTCCCTATATCACCTCCACCTAGCACAACAAATACCATGCTCCCTCTTCCTGGCCTGAGTCTCTCTCCCCTCTCATCACAACACAGGGATGCGTGGCAAGTACATGGAGGTGGGGCAAGGCACAAGGCACACCCAGAGCAGCCCTCAGAGAGCAGCCTGGCATCTTAGTGTCAGGCCCAACTGGCCCAGGACAGAAGACTGCTAGTGTCAGGCTTTTAGGGGAGGCCAAGGTGGGAAGTAGACAAATTCTGGAAGAGTAAAGGTGAAATTTTCAGCCTCTGAGCCATGCTGAGTTCAGCCTGAGTCACAGCTCAGAGTGTGGCACTTTTGGGGCAAGTTCTAAGCTGCTAACCTGGGCGTAGGTCAGAGCCATTCCCAGAGAATCTCTCCTTTCCTCTCACCTACCCATCTCTGATCCCAGTGCTGCCAGAATGTACTCATATTCCTTATGTTCCCTGAATGAATTCACGATATTTTAATGTCATTCAAATATTCAAGCTATATACAGTCAACCATGCTCTAGCAAAGGATTTGGAACTTCTCAAGCTAGTGTCAGAGCAGAACTGAAATCCTGCAGACAAGGGAGGTCCTAACCATTCAGGCACAGGGTGGTGGGAGAAGTGCCCCTCAGGCTTTCCTCTCCACAGGCCCCTAGGTCTCAACACAGCTGCAGACTTGGAATAGCATCACGGGAAAGAGCGATGGAATGAAGTGGCAGGAAGAAAAGATGACTTTAAAAATAAAAAAAAAAAAAACACAGATAAAAACCACCACTTGAAAGAAAGCAATTTAATTTAACAACCATTAAATAGATACGCAGAGAAAATGACCAATGCATAACTTAGATTCAAGCAAAGGAAATGAAGCGGATCATTGTTCTTCAATTACTCCTGTTATCAGCCAGGCTCCCACTCCATGGTTCAGAACCTCAGGCTATGAGGTGGGAGACTTCAGTAACCTTGATTTACTACCCCAAGGCCTTTGCAAATCTTGACTAAAAGGTACACTCCACAGAAAACCACCCTTACCTTCTACTGCTCAGATACTGGCAGAATTCATGCTCCCCCTCCTGCCCATGGAATTCAAGTGGAAACAGAAAGTATGTGATTTCTCCTCTAAAAGATATATATATATATATTATGGTAGAGAACTTAATCACGCAGCTCCATTTCAATGACCCCACCAGAAGGTTTGGTGGCTCTGAACTGAGACAATACTGCACACAAAGCAGCAGTCCTTGCGATGCACTGTTTTGGGCTCTAGGTCCACGTGAAAAAGAGAGGGACTATTCACAACTCTAGGGCTATACATATTTTCTTTCTGAAAAAAAAAAAAAGATAATAAGGTACTCCCCTCCATCCCTTCCCCCAAAAAAAGAAAAAGGAAAGGCAGAATAATAAACTAGAACAGCTCCCACTCAAGGTGGGGAAATTGCTTTGGACTCTATCCAAGTTTAATTTAGTATTCTTTTTTTAAAAGAAAATTGAAAAACACTTCTTTTTCTTCCTTGAACTAAGTCTAAGAGACTATGAGAGTGCTGGAAATTTGTTGTTTCAAAGCCATTAGGTCAAGAGCATTATTTGTTGCCACCCATCTCTAACACACACACACATGCACCTATGCAAAAATATAATCACGCACACTCACATGCTCCACTCTTCTACACATACAACAGGTAACACCTGAATTAGAAGAAAGTTTCCCAGGCCTGAAAGTAGGGGCAGATGAATTTATGATTAATGTTGCCCTAAAGCTCTATGACATTCAAGCTGCATTCAACTACATGATATTATAAAAGTGTCATCTCATAAAACTGAAAACGAGGGTTTAAATCATGGCTTGAGTGAAAAGGTAATTTCAGACAAAAATATCTATCACATATAAAATATTTATTGAGTGGCATCTACTGTTATACATAATTTATGAAACACCTCTTGGATAAGATGGAACACTTGACATGAGGGGGGAAGCGGGGGGAGGAACCACATGCTCACTGGGTCCCACAAAGAGAAAGGGGCAAACACATGGAGCTACACAAATCTTGCGCAGAAACAAAACTTTCAGCAGACAACACTGCTTGAAGGAAAATGAAACTACAGACTAAGATGATCAAAACATCCTTGTATCTGGAACTTTATCAATATGAACTTCATTACACTTGCAAATAATATGCTCAGTATGTTTTTCTTCACACCCTCCCCCAACTCCTCTAGCTGTAAAATACCTCTCAATTAAAAACATGCGTCCAGTGCTGGGCGGACACACAATCACCTCTGCCACATTTGGGGGGGCTCTGAGGGCTGGGGTCAGGTCATGGCTCATGGAAAAGTCCCTTGTACAAAGAAATTTATCCATTAGAAGAGGTAAGAGTTCTATCTCTTATAATCACGTGTCCTTAATGGCACCTCAAAAACTAGACAACTCTCTTGAATACATGAGGAAGTGAAGACCAACACAGAAACTATTCAGGGTGGGGGTGGGGCTCAGTGGTACAGGCAGCTTTAATAAGCACCAAGCCCTGGGGTCAGTTCCCAGCATCAAAACCAAAGCCATTTAAAGCAGCACAAAAGCTCATCTACAACAAAAACATTTCTCCCCTTTTGAGAATCCCACCTGCCAGCTAGATTTAACTTGAGAGAAACTATGAAAACAGTGGCAATGGGTTTGCCCAATTAAATTAAGAACACTCTAAGAACTTGTGTTTCCTCACACTGAGTTGGCTAGGTGACTACAATGGCACTGGTACCTGATCCTCACTGCATCATGGCTGATTAGCTGGTACTCTAGGGAGTGACTTTTAAATGACCCCCTCAACAGACAAAAACTTTGAGTATTAGAATCTTTTTATGGAAAGTTATTCTACAGATAACTATATTTAAGTAACTACTGGAATTCTGTGGCATTGACTCACAT